TAATTTCTCTAGGGACGCCTGGGTGCCTCAGTCGGTGAAGCATCTGCCTTCGGCTCAGGTCATGATCACATGGTCCTGGGATGGAGCCCCGCATCCGGCTCCCTGCTCAGTGGGGAACCTGCTTCTCCCTCTGCCTGCCGCTCCCCCTGTTTGTGCTCTGTGTGTGTGTGTGTGTGTGTGTGTGTGTCAAATAAATAAAGCATAGAGACGAAGGGGGGCTGAGAGGGGTGCATCGCAGCCCTGCCTGGGGTCTGCAGGGCTGAGGGGGTGCGGTGGAGTGCGGAGCAGCCGCGTGGTTGGCAGACAGGGGGTGGCAGTTACACGGGAAATGTTCTCCACAGACCATTACCCTCTGTACAGAATATCCCACCTACAACCCTCAAATAGTTCCGGTGTTTCGAGGCCACATACCCTTGGTTCCTCTGAAAACAAAGCTCTCCCAACCTCCCTGTCCTAACTCTCCTGTCTCCCTTCTCTCCTGGCGGGTGCCAAACAAACCCTGTTGCAGCTGTCACCACTGTCCTAGTCACAGGACAGGGGGCAGCGAAGGGGTGTACCAGCTCCTTCCTAGGTCAGCATTCACCTGAGCTCAGAGCTAAGGGCCGGGGCTCTGCACTGCAGCCCTGGTTCCCTCAAATCTTGCCTTTGCCCCTCACCTACTACGAGACCTTTCCGACCCTCCACTTCCTCATCTGTAAAGTGGCGACAAGAATGATATCTACCACGTTAGCTAACGCATGTGACCTGTTACAAAGTGCTTAGCACAATCCCTGACACATACTAAATGCTCAATAAATAATAGCTATTATTGTGGATGGAGCCAAAGTTTCCCTTGCTGATTTTTTTTTTTTTAAGCAATCAGATCTCAAGAACTGTTCAATACCTGTGATCAATAAAACCTCTTAAATAATTTTACAAAATACCCAGACAAGCAAGCTCTTCCTTATTGCAAACGTGTGCACTTGTCTCTAACCTAAATACAGAACATCACCTGGGCCTTCAATAACCTGCATGGAGTTTATGTCCTCCAGGCACTGCAGGCTGTTGAGAAGGTTCTAGGTCTTGACGGTGAACACAGCCACCATCCAATGGGCACATACTCTGAGCTAAGCACAGTGCCTGCTGTTTGTTCACCTGATCTTATTTAATCTTCGCAACAATCCACTGAAGGCATGCTATTATCCCAGTTTTATAAAAAACTGAGGCTCAGAGGGGTTGAATCACCTGTCCAAGGTCATACAGCCAGTAAGTAGACGATCCGGGAGTGGAACCAGTGTAGACTCCAAGAATCACATTCTTAACCACGGTGCTAAAGTGAATGCAGGTAAAGGGGGGTCAAGTCCTTTAGCTGGCTGGCCAAAGACTCCCCAGACTTTTTAATGACAAGTTGACACAAGTCAACTTGTGTGCTATATGAGGGAAGCCCGTGGCTCAAAACCCACATTCACTGGACAGTGCAGGAGAGAGGACCATCTATAGGATGAATGAATTCAAGCCCTTACCCATTCAGGTTTCATCTTTCCCATCACTATTTACTCCTGCTCTCTGCCCTATACCGGTCACCACATCCGGCACAGAGGAAATGCCCAAGAAATGCTTGTTGACTGAATGAATCAGAGGAGAGGACGAGGAAGAAAGACCAGGCAGGGAAACGGGTGGGAAGAAGAAAGGGAAAGAGGTGGTGCCAGAGAAAGGGGCAGGTGTGAAAGAAACAGAGGGATGGGGCCAGGAGCCGGGAGGGGAGAAAAATCAAGGTACCCCCGCCCCCCAGGCTCTGATCCACTGTTGGCCTCAGATGAAGCCCCATAAATTATCCTGGCCTCAGCCTTCACTTCAGGAGTTTCCTCTTCTCCCCAAGTGCTCAAGGCTGACTGGAAGCCCACCCCTAGCCCTGCCCGATCCCTTGCCCTGCATGCTGGGAAGTGGGCTCGGAGCTTTGTCCCATTCTTGGAGCCTCCCTCAGTTTCCTGGCGTGGCCTTAGAGCTCAGTGCAACCTTCCTGCCCCGCTTCCTCTTCCTGCCTCTGGTTCCCTAGAGATGAGGCCATCCAGGCATCATGACCCCCAGCCAGGCCACATCCATCACACCTCTGCCAGTTTCTCCAGGGCAGAAGCTTAAAGCACCAAGCGTGCTTCCTGCCCAGCCTATCTTCCTAGGAGTCCAGGGGATGGAGGAAAGCTACTGGCACGTCCTGTTGCTGACACCTTTGCCTTAGAGATGGCAAGTGGGGACACAGGCCAGAGTCTGCGGCTGGAGTGGGGGATGACTCACCTCAAGAATGTGTCCCTCGGTAGAGGTTAGGAGAGAGCCAGGACTGTGCCATAGTCTGATAACTTCAGGGGAACTTTTATGGTGAACATCTCCCTTTATCTCTCCGCAGGGAAAGGAGTGTGCCCTCCAATACCCTGCCACGGCGCTGGCAAGGCCTCTACCACCCCATCTGCTCAGGTTTCCAACTCCCGGGCCACACTTGGCTTCTCACGGCTCCGGGCAGGGCTGAAGAGGTCATCACATTACCTACCACTCCTGAGGAGCAGGTTCTGGGTGCCAGGCAGGGCTCTGCCATTGTATCTCTCTTAACCTCGCAAGGACCCAGTGAATCAGGTATTGCTGACCCCACTTCACAGATGCGGAAAAGAAGGCTCGGGAAGGTTAAGTGACTGGCCCGGGGTCACAGAGCCAGTAAGTGGCCACCACCAGGATCTCAGCCCGGAGTCTGACTCCGAAGGCCGGGCTCCTAACCACTTGGCTCAGGGAAGGGGGAAGCCGGAGTCATGCACACTGCGCGCAGGCGGCCAAACTTCCCCTTCCCAGCCTGCGCGCCCCGGGGGACCCCATCCGGCTCCTGGCCGCGGCCACCTCACGGTGGGGGGGGTGTGGGGGGACCGGCGCGGGTCCCGGACGACACCCCAGCCCTCGGACTTCAGCCTCCGGCCGCGCACCCCCACATCGCCCTCTGCCCCCCGTCCGGCCGGCTCCGCCCCGCCCGGGCCCTCACCATAGCTGCTGCCGCCGCCTCGCCAGCTCGGGCTCTTCTGTCGCCCAGCGGCCGCGGTGCCAGATACCCGGGAGGAAGCGGAGGGGCGGGGCCGCAGCCGGCGGGGGCGGGGGGCGCGCCTGCCCGGAGCCCGGACCCGGACCGCCGCAAAGCGAAAGCTGCCGGCACCCCGCCCGGCTTCGCACGGCTCCCCCAGCCTCCGGAACGGAGGGCCTCACGCCTGAGCAGCCTGGTGCTCGCGCTGCACGCTGGCCACACGTCGGGGGCCCAATCTGTGACCCGGGCACAGTGGAGTGGGCTCCGGAGCGGAGGTATCGCTCGTTCCACGAGCCTCTGTATCGGTGCTGACGCTGGGCACTGTGCTAGAGACGCCTCGAACAGCCAGCCGGGCCGGGTCTTTGCCACCTGGGTGAGTGCATTCACCGGTAACCCAAACCCAAACTCGACTCCCCGAAGAAAAGTTTAGAACGAAAGAAACTATTCGCAATCAACATTGTGAATGCACTACCTGCCGCTGAATTGTATATTTCGAAAATGGTACCACTGTCTGTTACAGTTGTATGTACACTTATACAATGTATGTTGTGTGAACAGACCCCCAGGGAGAAGGTGCTAGTTCTGGCTTTTCTGTATTTCCTCTTCACCACAAGGGCAGCTGCAGCCCTGCCCTCATATGACCCTGCTCCTCAGTGGGAGGGAGGATGGGCGAAGCCACCCCTCCAGAGCCTTCCTGAGCTGAATCTACCCATTCTCCCCCTCTCCTCTGCAGGGGAGTCTGAGACACCTGTTCTCTACCCCACCCCATGCCACCCCCACCATCTCAACTGTGGCCCCTCTTGGGGAAGGGGGTTGAGGGCTTCCCTCCTTGAGTTGAACCGTGACAGTACAGCCCACATTCCCACCCTGGGCCATCTAGATCCCAAGGAAGAGGTCTCCCCCCAGTTCTGTGGACTTTGAGTCCAGGAATGACCTGAGGAGAGAAGATGATCACAGTCTGATATAGGACAAAGTCTGCCCTGAGGGCTTTTCTGTGCCTTTTTTTTTTTTTTTCTCCCTGGTTTTCAGAGTATGATTCCAGAACCTGACTTGCCAGGAGTCGTCCCAAATCTTGTCTCCCAACCCTATCCCTTCTATACAGGTTGTTTTCAATACTGGAAAGCCCACGGGAGAAACAGGGACAGAGAGGGCAAGAATCCTTTCCCCGAACCAAGACAGGAAAGAGTGACAATGAGGTGGAACCTGGTGGGGAGGAGAGAAGCCCAAAGACAAAGAGGCCCATTGTACATGGAGGGGAAGGAGGGCCATAGGCCCTGTCCTGTGACACTGACTGGGCCCAGCCACGAGCCATGAGGAGAGATGCTCGCTCCCTCAGCTGAGACCCGGAGGCCCTGCTAAGTCCCAAAAGGGCAGGGGCAGACAAAAGACAAATAGAACTTTGCAGAACCAGGGGCGCCTGGCTGGCTCAGTCGGAAGAACATGTGACTCTTAATTTCAGGGTCGTGTGTTCAAGCCCCATGTTGGGTGTAGAGATTACTTAAATTTAACAATTAAAATAAATAAATAAATAAAAAGAACTTTGCAGAACCAAAAAGGAAAAGTGGCCCAGTTCCTCCAACCCCTCACTCTTGACTGCAACAGGGCCACAGAAGAGAGATGGAAAGAGGCCCTTGCCTGTCTCGGCTAACACTTCCAGCAGAAAAGTAATAAAAGGACATGGCAAGACCCCAGGGGGCACTCTTAGGAGTGTTGCATACCACCCTAAAATGGTTTTGATTTTTCCACATGCCGAGAGCCTCAAAAAATTCTGGTTCTTAAGACCTGTCACAAAGAATGGAAAATAGAGAAGGATGGGGAGACTCCATCTTTCTTCTCCAAACTTACACTCTCCACCCCTCCAACCATGGGTCCTCAAATAGGAGAATCTCAGCCAGAGGGTGTCCCCAGGGAGAAAAGAAATAGAAGAGCCAAAGGCAAAATGGAAGGGGAGAAATTACCTCACATGTGTAGGGATACTGAAAGGTCTTTATTGCCCACCGGCCACCATCAGTTTCCCAGCCCCAGGCTGGGCCTTCTGGGGTCTCTCCAACCAACTCTGAAGGCCCATGAAACATAGCCACAGTCCAGCTCTCTCCTTCCAGGGGGGCCAAGGTGCCTCGGGCAGACAGTGTGGCAGAGGGGCCTCAGAGTGAAGGGCGGGAGGACGCAGCAGCACTCCCTGCAGGCAATGATGGGAGAGAGGGCCCTTTTTGGCACCCACGATGGAGGGTTGCCCTGAAGAGGAGGGTGGGGGCGAGGGGCTCTCTAGGTTGGGATGGCATGGGTGGCAAAGAGCACAATGAAGAGGATGATGATAAAAACAGTCACGCAGATGAGGACAATCATCTTCACGTTCTTCCACCAGAACTTCCGGGCCACCTTCTGCGATGTGGTCTTGAAGTGCTCCGACTGTTGGGGACAAGGCAGAGTGAACCAGTGCCTCCTTCCACCGGAACAAGAGGACAAACAGAGGCCCACATGCTATCCATCCCAATATTTAAGTGAGCAGTTGAGGGAACAGACTGTTACACAAAAAAACTATGCTGACCTTCTACCTTGACAGATACACCTTCATGACACTCTGATGGGCCAGGCTCAAATTTAGAATTCTTGGGCTTCCCTTGGCCCCCTGCCTTCCCTCTTCTCTTCTCACCCCTGAACCGTCACGCACATCGAGAGGCCTTTTACATATGCTCACACCCAAGGGTGCGACACTGTGCACAATCCGCCCTTGGGAGGGCACACACTGGGGCCGAGCAGCGCAAGCTCCAGGTGGCTGCATCTCCCTGGGTCCACGACTCCTTGCCCCATGGGGACCGCTGAAGCTGGAGGACAGGCCAGCGCAGCAGGGAGGCTGGAGGTGAGAGAAACTGCTACTCTTCCTCCTCAACTCGAGTTGCAGAAATTACATTTCCCTGGGCCGTGCTCCCCAGCCTAGGCTGTGGAAAGAAACACTAAGTCCGGGGGAGACTATACCCAAGATGACGCCCAGGACTCAGAAAGCCACAGTGTCTCTTCCTGTGGACATGGAACCTTAGCCTCCAACCTTTGTTGGACTATTCTGTTAGAGTTACTCCCTCCCTGAGCAGCTGGCTTCAGCCCCTGGCTGGAGAGAGAGAGAGAGAGAGAGAGGAATGAGGTCTAGCAGGATGTGTGGGAGATATTATTCTAGCCTTCAGCTAGCAGAGGACCCCTGGATCAAAGAATTTCACTGCTCTTCCCAGCTTCTTTTTAAAGCAGACTCAGCAAAACTCTAACAGTTTCCCGCCCCCCTGCCTAGTAACTCCTAGAGAAGGCCAAAGGCCCTAGGAGGATTTTCCAGAGCCAATATTTTTGTCCTGGGGAGGTCAGGTCCAAATGATTGTCAAGGGCAGCCTTCAAAGGGAAAAATTAGTTTCATGGGAGAGAAGCCTAAGAATGCGAGGGCTGACTGGGCCATCTTAGCTGTCTCAGAAAACGCCTCCAAGAGTCAGCCCCACCCATCTCCCTCCTTCCCCCCCGCCAGTCCTTGGAGCCATTCCCTGGACCCCAGTACCAATCAGTGGAGTACAGCAGAATCGAACTGGGGACTTGCTCGTCAATTCCCAAAACAAGTGAAAAGGCAGACTTCCCTCCTATGCATTTTGCCCCCAACACCACCAACCCCCCAAACCCCAACAATCCTCCCTCCCTCTCTTCCTCTACCCCCCACCCCAACTGTGGGCTCCCCATCTCACTGTGGCTTCCAGATCCTCTGTCTTGTTGCGGAGGTGTTCCAAGTTTTCTCCTCGGGCCAGGATCCGCTCCACATTCTGGGTCATAATATTCTTGACTCCCTCCACCTCGCTCTGCAGGTTCCGCACATGGTCATGTCCCCCACCTCCACTGGCCTCCTCCTGGGCAGCAACACAGGGGTTAATTAGGCCAAGTGGGGGAGGAACTGAGACTCAGCCTCAGAGGCCAGGGGAGGGGTAGGCCTGAGATGGACTTTAGCTTTTTTTAATGCCTCAACTGTTTACAAAGAGAATGTTTTCATGTATTACTCATGTAATCAAAAACAAATGCATTTTGAAGCCCCAGAAGGTGAGTACTGATGCTAGACAGACTAGATCAAGTCTCCTGTCAGGTTCTCCCGAGCCCCTGATGAGGAAAAGAAACACAGCCCTAAATCCCACTCCACGGTTGCCTCGCTCCTCCACAGGGGTCGGAGGACTGCTAAGCTGGCATCTCAGGATGGAGAAGCCCACCACTATTTACCAAAGGGTCCTCATTAAAAATATCTGTGCTGGCACAAGCCCCTCTCACTGCAAGACAGCAAGCAGCTGGCGGGCGCCTGGGTGGCTCAGTTAGTTAAGCGACTGCCTTCGGCTCAGGTCATGATCCTGGAGTCC